GTTCCTGGATCGCTGGTGATGATTCTCAGCACGCATATGAACCGCATCTTGCACTTAGATGAGACAGCGTGCGTCTGCATCGTTGAGCCGGGTGTGACTTTCATGCAAATGAGCGAGTAAGTCGTCGATCATCCCATCAAAGAATCTCAGAAACCGAGAGACTGACAAGCTTCCCGCAAAAAAAGTTATCTGCGTGACCGCGGCCTCTTGGACAAGATCAGAGTAGACTCGTCAGGCCTCGGCTGGGGATCCATGATTGGAAATGCCCTGGACCGCGGAGGTGGTGCTTCCTTGTACGGTGATAGATGGGGAAAACACAGCGGAATGGAGGTGGTCCTGCCCAACGGCGAGGTCGCCAGGATGGGAATGGGAGCGATCCAGGACCCGGAGGGCCGCAAACAGGCGGAGCAGGGCGTTCACCCGGCCGATCAGAAGCTCAATGAGTGTTTCGCTCTGTTCCCGTACGGCTGGGGCCCAATGAACGACGGTCTATTCTCGCAGGGCAATGCTGGCATTGTCACCAAGATGGGATTCTGGGTGAGATGCCTCATCCAATGAAATCTGGCCTAGTACGATCACAACGTCGAAAAGGGAAAACTAACAACTTTGACCATAGCTGATGCCCGCTCCGCAGGGCATGACGCCGTTCTCTGTTACTTTCGAGAAGGAAGCCGATCTGGCCGCCCTAGTCGACTGCATTCAGCCCCTTGATCTGGTAAGACTTCTTTCCAGGTTTGGAAGGTAAATCTGATCCAGCTGACTCTCTACAGAACGGCACGCTTCAGAGTTCAGTCAGTTTGCGCAACCTCACATTGGAGGCTGCTCATTATGGCCCGAGGTCCAGCTATACCAATGCCTCTCACAAGGAAGTCATCCCCGAAGGGGACTTTGAGAAGATGGCCAAAAAGCTCAACACGGGCCGGTGGCGCTACATTGGCGCCGTATTCGGCTCCGACAAAGTCCGCGCGGCTCTCATCGAGGATATCAAAAAGGAGCTGACCAAGGTCCCCGGTAGCAAGTGGGCCACGCTCGACGAGTGTCCCGGTGAGCAGAACCTGGTTCGTGTCAGAGCCACGTACCTTCAAGGTATCTCGTCCATGGGAGAGTTTGCTTGGATGAAGCAGTGGCTGCCCAACTGCTCCGTCATCATGGTCGCGGCTATTTCCAGACTTGAGGGCAAGGCTGTTTGGGAGCAATATTCCTTGGCAAAGGAGCTGTTTGCCAAGGCAGGCATCGACTACATCAGCCACTACGTCGCATACTTCCGGACTATGCGTAAGTCCTCCCTTGATCGGATCATCGAAGTAACTACTTAGTTCGCATGAACTGACATCGCACTTTCAGACAATGTATGCATCATTCCTTATGACAGAAAAGACAAGGACATGCGTGGCCGCGCGCAGTGGTTGGGCCGGACCCTGGTCAAGGAGTGGAAGGCTCGCGGCTGGAGCGTCTTCAGGACTCACGTGGGTCTCATGGACCAAGTTGCGGATGCTTATGACTTCAACAATGGTGCCCTGTGGAAGATGCATGAGGAGATTCACGACACCCTGGATCCCAATGGCATTCTAGCTCCCGGAAGAGGCGGTGTCTGGCCAAAGTGCTACGATAAGGATGCTTGGATGATGGGAAAGAATTACATTGGGTGAGATGAGCCTGGTAAATACTCAAAGATACGAATCCGAGTCTGCATGAGTTTTCATAAGATTTACCTGATCGACGGAGTGAAACGGAACGATAGTTACTGTGAACCGAAGAGCGTGGATGAATTGACAACTACCAGCGCTGTACTTCATGTTTGAATTTAGAAGCCTAAGTGTATAGTCCCATCATCCATAGCTACGGGTAGCTGAAACAATAAGCTCTTTACTCGATATGGGTACTATTCCCCCTATTCAATCTATGCGGAACTCCCCTCGCTGGACCATCACATGGACTTCCAATTGTCCACTTCTTTACGTTACCATTTCGGGCCTCTCATCCGGTTCGTACACAACATGTAAGTTGTGACTTGAGATTGCGGACCTCCACTGCTCCAGTCCTGCTGTCACTAGTCACGAGCCAGGTTCATCGTCTAACTATTTCTGGAAAGCCGTTCGCACACACTCTCTCTTCAGCTGTCATCCGATCTACTAGATCACCAATCACGCGATAAAGGTGGCTAACCGCGGCTCTGGTTGTACTTACCAGGTTCCAACTCTCTGAGTGGGCAACTCGGACTCTAAGTTTTCTTTGGTTGACACATCCCGTCGGTCCATGCCGTGGCAACCAATGTGTTCTTTAAAGTCGGAACCATCATTGAAACAAACAGAGAAGGAGCCACGGCAGCAGATCGTTTCATTTCATCAGCCTTGTTGAGATTTGTAATTGATGATCGCAGGGCTTCAGATTGGACTTCTTAAATCAGGCGTATTGAAGCCTTGGGGACCTGATGTGAGCATAGAAACGGACAACCCCCATGAGTCTAGCATCCGAGATTCAGAGCAGATATTCTTTTGTAGTCACGACCCTATGCAGACTTTCCGATTTGGGAGTTAGAAGAAGTCAGCTGACAAGTCTTGATTTCTGCACGTAGTAAACCTCCACAATCTACTTCCTCAGTAAGTCTGGAGGTTGCCTCCGTGGCCGAACTTACACGAGAAGGTCTCATCAACATTGAGATCGACCAGCTCAGTGGCGTACAAACTCAAAGACATTCATGTTTCATCGCAGGACTAAGATTGCCTTCATGCATTCAGTCCGAGGTACAACACGGCAGGCTACCATCACGGGCTACAGCGCGAAGAAATCAAGTTTCAAACCAGAACCGCCATGTTCTCATTCATTCAACTAAAGTCTACCTTATCTACCAGGATTGGTAACAGAGAACCCCTTGATTGGGAAATTGAAGTTGATGTGATGCGACTCAACCTTGCCCACCCCAGACGGTATATACACACTCTTATCCGCCGCCTTACTCGAAGCATAATCCTGCCACCCCACAAACCCCAACCACACAGTCCCGTTATCAGGCGCGTCTGTCGCCGTGATGCCCGAGTGGGACGCCAAGCACCCGGCATTCGCCTCGACCTTTTTAATCATGGCCGCCGCGGCGTCCTTGTCGCCCGTGAAGTGCGTAATGGTGATGATTTCGCAAATGGGACTGTTGATGAGCTGCGGCGGCGGCGGAACAATGGTGCTGACGTCGAAGTCGACGCGCGGGCACTTGGAGGGGACGGCTTTGAGAACGGGCATGAGGGCGTCGATGGCCTTTTGGTGGTGGGGGCAGCGGCCGAAGGCTTGGCGGTGCTCGACTGGGGCCCAGGCTGTGGTAACGGGGAAGTCATCGTCAGTTTCGGTCTGGTAGTGGGACGAAGTTGCGATAAGTCAGGGGCTAGAAACATACTCGCTAGAATCTCCAGCTTGCTGTGGTCCTCCTCCCAAGGGCCCCATCGGTAGCGGAAGTATCCTTCCGAATCCTTGACAGTTAAGAGGAACTGCTTGAACTCCTCCTTCCAGTCTGGCACGTCTCCCTTCACGTGGAGGACCACTCGCGTGGGACCAAGGTTAGGAGGAGGGCCGGACATGATGTGAGAGCTTGCTCTGCTGAAAGTTGACGAGAACGAAGTATAGAATGCTTATGTAAATTTGAGGCTACAACATGAAAGCCTGGGTGGCCTTTTTCTTGTCATCAGCTAGCTCCTGGAGGTGTGAGATTGTTATTATATCACACATCAAGAGCATCACCGATCCGAACCGTCTGATGGATGACGCAGTGACCAAAGATCAATGATGCCCTTTTCTTCCTATGAGACGTCGACGGCAAGAGCATATTGTTCCATGCCTTGGTCTCCTCAGAATTGTCACACAGAGCTACGTTTTGTGATACGAATAAGTTTCACGGACAGCGAATATTCCATCAAAGAAGAGGCAGCGCGCGCACGCGTAGACAATCCCCATCGGACTCCTGTAGATGGCGTGGCAAGAGCCACGGCTGCGAATATTGATCAGACGAGTTTTCTGCCCGAGTGGCCTGGATGGCATCTGACAAGCAGGCATGGGTATGTGCGTGCGTCACAAACCGAGCTGCGATATGCAAAAGGGACGGCTTGGGTGGGCGGACGCGCGGGGAAAGCTTGCTGTTTCTCTTCTCTTCTGGAGCAAACCTCCCAGCCTGCGGACAGCTCCAGGATGTAAGCTTGAGCTTAATGTATGTATGTTTTGTGCTACATGTTCTGTTGGTGTGATGAGTGATCTATCGAGATGGTCCGTTGCGAAGAGAAGTTTTGAGAGTCGGCACTTTCCTACCAATGAAGCCCGTTCAATTTGCAATTTCAACTTTTTGCGTTTTGTCTTGTGGCCCCGGGAGCTGAAGCTCAAGCTTGAGCTTGGCAATGAAGGCTGGATCTGAAGTTTGAGCTTGTTCTCACACCCATACGTTTCACGGCTATTCAAGCTTTTCAAGTACGGTTGGGGTTTTCAGGACTTCCCCAAGGCGACTAGCGACCACACCACACGCCCCCCCTCGACACCCGCTTGATCGACTTCCCGCATCACCCTCACGGACGGCTAGAGAAGCATTGTACGTGACGTCGGTTGATCAGCGGTCCGACGCGTATTCGCGATAGAGGCGACCGGGTGACAGGTTTCCTCAACGAGTTGCGCGATCTGCGACAGAACTCTGTGAACTCTGCTAGTCACGACGGGGAACGGCCGACTGTGAAGGTCTCCCTGGCATTTCCATCATCACACATGGTAGTTCCTTAGGCTTCTTGGTCACTGGCGTCGTAAATGAACTTCCATATGAGATCCCCTTCAACGTCGAAGAACAGGGGTTTATCATTTGAGTGATTTCATCACGGGTGCTGCGATATCCCGACGGTTCCATAAGCGGAGGACAAGACTTCGTGATGAAATCATTGAAATGACAAACGCTCTTGTTGTATAACAAGCAGATTGTTGGAAACAGACTCCGAGCTGGTACATTGCCTCTACATTTTCATACAAGCCGTAATTGCGCTCTACAACTTGGACTTTGGTTCCTTTTCGTCATCGTCCTCCTGTTGTTTCAATCGAACGACACCCTATATCAAAAGAAGTCAGCACGCATCACACATCAAGGGTGAGAAGAAAAGAACTAAAACAGCGGCAATGAAGGGGCAACTCACCTCCTGAACACAAGTCGCCAAAAGCGTCCCATCACTCGCGAAAATTTTCTGCAGCACCACGCCCCGTCCGTCGCCGCTCCAGGGGCTCTCCATCTCGGTAAACATCCACTCGTCCGCCCTCACCCGCCTCGGCTCGTGGAAGTAGATGGAGTGGTCCAAGCTGACCATCATGCCCAGGTGCGGCCTCGTCTTCCAGTACTCGATCCCGCCGGCCTCGGTGTTGCCCTCAAACTCGTTGAGCCGCTCGACCTGCTCCCGCAGCTCGGGCGGCAGGTCGTCAAACTCCTCGGGCTTGAAGGGGAACCGCCACAGCCTGTGGATCCGCCCGACGGTGCCGATGAAATAGCTGTCCGACATGTACGCCAGCGCGTTCAGGTGCGCCTGGTGGCCGCCGCTCACCGAGATACGGCCCCGCGCGCGGACCCAGTTGCGCGATTTCAGCTCGTCGAGCCTCTTGCCCTTGTCCCTGGCCCCAACGATCGAGATGCGGTGCGTCTGGAAGGGCGAGTGCGTGCTCCACTCGGGTTCGCCCTTCCAGTTGTCCGGGGGCGGCTTCACGCCGTCGGGCAGCGGCGCCGCGTGCCGGACCTGCTTCTCGCCGCCACTGCCCTCCTTGACGAAAGAGACGGTCGTCGTGAAGATACACCGTCCGCGCTGACGGGCCTGCACGGTGCGCGTGGCGAAGGAGCGGCCGTCGCGGACGCGCTCCACGTGGAAGAGGATGGGGATCTCGGAGGAGCCCGCGAGGAGAAAGTAGCAGTGGCACGAGTGAAGAAAGAAGTCGTTGGGTACCGTCTTCTGCGCGGAGGCAAGGCACTGCGCGATGACGGCGCCGCCAAAGATGCCGCGGGCGCCGGGCGGGTGCCACGGTGTGCGCGTGTTCGTGAAGATGTCCTATTTGCAAAGTGAGTTTGTGTTCACTATCTGATATGTATGCTTGTGTCATTGGCAGACATGTGGCCGGGGACGGCATCGGGTGGGATTCACTCACCGGACCAAGCACGCCGAGCTCCGTCACCTCCAATACGTTCTCCATCGGACTCTTGTTCGGGTCATCCGGCGGGGGCCGGATGATTGTTGATCTACCTGATGCCATTGTGCCGGTTTATTCTTCTTCCCGAAGTTTTGGCTCTAAATCGATTGCCGTCTACAGTCTTTGATGGTGTGTGTTGATGAGCTCGCCTCTAAGCCCCGAAGAAATCTCTCTCCTCTAAACACCGAGTCTTGGCGTTTCGCAAGGTCAAACACGACCGCTTTAGTCCGCTGCGCCTCTTAATCTACCCCTCTGAGAGCCTGTGTTGCAAATGAAGAAAAGGATGGTATGAGAGACGAAGAAGATGAACGACACAATGGGGATGAGAAAAGGATTCGCTTGTGAATGAACCCAGGAGTCCGGATTGAGATGCGCGACCAGGTCCCCTAAATGTGACATCAATTGGGGTCGTGGCCACTGGGCAAGGCAAGGGGGGGAAAGTGCCGAGGTCCAAAAGCGGAGCGTTTTGATTGGATGTCACTGCTGCGCTCAGGGGATCACGGACCGTGGCGAGTCGTGGGCAGCTGCGAGTCTCCAGCGCCTGCACCTGCTGCAGGAAACGTGCCGCTCTCCACCCGAGCTCACCGAGGTGCTCCCGGGACTCGGTGAGTGGCCCCCCAAAGTCCCACCTCCCACGGGCGCCGGGTGCACACGCCGCCCTCCACTCCAAGCTCCGACCGGTATCACAAGCTTCTTGGCGGGGCAGGTGCCCAACAACGCTCGACTGCACCTGTCGTCAAGGGGAAGAATCAACTCAGGACCGGGCTACAGTCTGTACGGAGTAGATACTGCCATTGAGAAGAGGTAGAGAAGATCGCAGGGGTCATGTGCAAATAAACACCCGAAATGGTAGCTCCGCGACGTACGATGTCCTCCCCTGATGGCGGTAGATAGACTCCCTCACATATTACTTTACACATTGCAAATGTACAGTCTACCATTCTGATGCGACGCGTTCCTCACGGTTTGAAGACCAGACAGTTGGACGGTAGTTTGATTAATCCGTCCGAACGGAGAGCATCTGCGGGAGCGCTTCCGGTGTCTCTCCAGGTTCACTAATCGTTCCGTGCCGCCGCTTGCCTCGGCTCTAGAACTTCAAGCTGCCCAATACAAGCAAGATATCAGGCAACTGTAATGAATGCGTCTTATGTCTGTATTTCATCCCAGCATTACTATCTTGACCATGTGATCCAATAGCAATGTCGGCAGGCCGTCTTGAACGATTAGCAAGGAAACTCAAGAAGTGCCACGAACTTACTCATTGACCGTGCCCATGCGTACTGAAATTGTGCCCTGCATGTTCACATTGATTTCAGCTTCACATATCGGAGGTAAGATCCAATAACAGGCCATCTTTCAGACGTGATTGCCAGCCGAAGAGGCATTTTCATGCCTATTTGGATGCCTCCCGTGGAGGCGGTCTTGCGCCGCTCTTGCCACTCGCATCGAATTAGGATACTTAATACCCATCAAGTACCCCGACCTTTTACCTCCATAACCGCAACTGTTCGCGATGGAATGCTTTTTTCGCCCCTATTTCTGACGATAGCGAACGCAGATGATCTTCTTTTCTTTTACTTCTTCTCTTCATCTTGTCAAGATGATCATTTAGCCAGCCGTACCCCCCCCCCCCCCCCCCCCCCCCCCCCCCCCCACCCCACCTTCTCGCGATGAACGTGTTTTTTTCCCCCTTTTTCGACGCCAAGCAACCCCAATTATTCTTCTTTTTTTTTCCTCCCTCCCCCCCCCTTTTCAAAATAACATTTTGCCCGCCCGTCCCCCCCCCCCCCCCCGGTCACTATGCCCAAATAGAAAGATGACTACCGCATGTTCTGCTCCGTTCTCACTTCCCACGTATTCATAATCAATTGCTACGAGTAAAATGGTTGACAGAACGATGTGAGATGTGCTTTTCTCACTTGGCCACACTGCGTGGTTTCGGATACCAGACTGCTACCCTTCAGATCACGAAGGCGATTCAGCACGCGAACGAGAGCATACCGTAGCTAGAGACAAGCTACTGTTAGCCCTATTCACGCCGCTCAATTGAGCTGGAGAAAGGTGTTTGTCAGCGGGCTCTAGGTAGGATGTTTTATATCTTGGACACCACGTTCCACAGCGCACCATGTATCCGTATGTGAAAGACGTAGGCTACAAAAGCTATTGCAGTACTACACTAGCCAAGTTACATCTCTCTGACTGGGCGGTTCAGTAAAGTACCCGAGTCAAAGAGCTTTGTATCTCAGTTTGAAGGCTGAGTGTCGATAGTTGGATCCTAGCTATAGAGGGTAATTACAGGTCCAAGTGAAAGTCAGTATGCAGTCACCTAGGTAGACAGACACCTCAGATAGCCGCATCTCACCCTTTCGCTCATATTACAGGCCAAATACGTCAAAGAGAGACAGGCCTATCAGCTACAAGTAGTTGTTTCCTAGGTAGTAGATGATGGTGAAGAGGATGGCCATAATGGAAGAGATGCTGCTCCTCTAGCCGGCCTGAAATGCACCAGTTCATGGAGAAGCATGCCTCAGAAGCGAAAAAGAATCGCCTGAACAAGACTTATCAAGCGTGATCATTCGGGTGCCTATATACATACCTTTGCTGCAGAAGATGGTGAGTAAGAGCGTCCTACCCAGTCGCGCCTTCCGTGACCTTAGTTATGTACCTTGAGGGACAACAAATTCCATGAACCCACTAAGCAAAATTTCCAGCCGCGGCCGTTCAAACAACTAGATCCTTTTCCCCATGGTACTTGACTCTTCGCGCATTCACCCTACCTGACCTACCTCCACCGTACCCAGACCTCTCTCAGCTTCCTCTTCAACAAGCCGTATCCGTCATCGCTAGCCTCATCTTTCCTAAGCCAGACCGTCTCACGATACATCACACCATGGCCTCATCTAGCATGAGCTAAACGCCCTTCCAGACTTCACAATAACAAGGGCTACACACACGGACATGCCGAGAACGAGCGATTGCTTATTTCAATATCATCTATGTTACATCATTTGCATCCTGGCTCTCCGACATGCAGTGCAGGCGAGATCTACCTTTTCCCGGCAACAGTCCACCGAAAGCCGCTCGGCCCGTCCGCAAGACGCACTACCTGCTGCTGCGGCTTCTTGTCCGGCACAACTTGATACCCGCTGCTAGCCCCACCGATCCCGCCTCCACTGACAGAACAAACACCTCCTAGAACGACGCGAGCCTCCTATTTCGCGTCCTCGTAGATGGGCTCCAGACCCTCCCAGGCCTGCTGCGGGTTCCCTTCGGGACCGGCCTTCTCTCTCTGCTGCCAGTACTTGCCGTTGAACTTCCAGTACTCCTCACCCGTAATCTCGCACGTCGTCTTCTCGAACCACGCGGGCCGGAACTCGATGCCCTTCTCCTCGCGCTGCTTTCTTCTCGCGCGCTGCGCCTCCTCCAGACGGTTCTTCTCCTCTGCAGCGAAGTCGTACTCTCCATCCTCCATGGCGCGCTGATCGGGACGAAGACGAGAGTCCGTGGGCGGCAGCCAAGGCTTGAGCTTGTCGTCGATGTGGTTGAAGGTGAGCACGAAGGGGGTGAGGTTGAAGGGAATGCCGGGCGGGCGGGGGTTGGCCTGCCAGATGAGGAAAGCTTTGTTAGGGTCGGTGATGCTGCCCTTGTGGAGCGAAGCCGAGTCACCAGGATCCTCGACCGTGGCTTCATATCCAGGCGTGAGACGAGCGTAAAGCTTCGAGTTCCATCGGCCGCCCATGCTGTATCGAACTCTTCCATCAGAGTCGAGGACCTTGCCGGAAATCTTGTATGCGCTAGACGCCTTCCAGCCACGCGGCTGGAACTCGATCTGGCACACCTCGCCAGTTGTCCAGTTCTTGACCTCCATGGGTCCATAGTTGTCAACAGTAGGGTTACCAGTGATAATGCCAATGACGGATGTGGTGACCTTTCTCCAGGTGTAAAGGTCCTCTTTGCCTCCAGACTTGGGTCGAAGCTTCAAGAACCACGTTCCAAGAGGGTTGGCGTCAAAGGACTTGCCGTAGAACTTTGTCTTGACGGCCGATTCACCCCAGTAGGTCCAGTGGGGTGATTCAGCCCAGGCGGCACCCACTGGAGGATGGTGAGAAACCTGCTCAATAAAGAAGCGGTAGTTCTTGTCAGGCCGGACGTATTCAAAAGTCTCTCCAAGAAGCGGGTTGAAGGGTTTCGCCACACGACCGACAGTAGAAGCGTATTCACTAGCAGCAAAGGCAGCCACATAGATGAGACGTTCAATCGAGTCAGATCTCTCCACAGCTTGGTCCAGAAGGTCGACGTATTCCATGTCCTCACCAGCGCGGTATAACAGAGAGGTAGGCTCGTTGAATGACACAGGCAAAGTCATCTTGGTCATATCCTTGCCAATCATGGACTTGAGAATGCCCTGCAGACAGATTAGCAAACCGGACATACACAGCGCTTGAAATGGCGTAGCTTACCCAAAGTGAGATCTTGGGCCGATCATCAGCATCCATCTTGAGACGACTTCTGATGCCATTCTCGTAACCCTTGAAGGAGCTGCTGAGATCCGTGCCACCAGAAACAACAAGTTGCTGTTCCTCCTTCTCCTCGTGCGGAGTAGGCACCGCATCGGCATGCGGCAAGTGGCTGACCTCAACCTCTCCAGCATCAACTGCATCAAAGAACTCATCCTCGTCATCCGACTCAGAGTCAGACAGCTCAAGCGAATCAAGAACCGTCTTCTTCCTTGTCAAGGTCCTCTCGGGCGCCGCTGGCGGGGCTGCGATATTCGTGTCATCGGCACCGACGGCGGCCTCAACGGTCGCAGTACCATCCACCTTTCTGTCACCCTCGAGGTCCTGGCTAGTGGCCGTTGGCTGCTCGTTCATAACTTCGCGGAGCGCACGCTTGGCAGCTTTGCGCTTCTGCTCAGCCTGGTCGACACGCTCCTCCAGGATCTCCTGCTCCTTGGCAACCTTGGCCATGCTCTCCTCCCACATGCGGCGCATGTCGATTTCGCGGTCCAGCCGGTACTGCCAGTAGGCATCGCGATCCTTTGAAATCCGCATCAGGTCTCCGAT